AAAATTGTAAAGAAATTAGGCACTATGGCAAACCAGTCTCGCTGATCATATGATTTTATGCCAACAAATTGATAAACAGCAACTGCTACAAACAGTGCTGTTATCAACAATAAAGGTGTGCTTGAACTGCACGACAAAGATCAAAATTAGTACACTACCAAAGCGAAGATTCCGATTTCTCCGGATACACATTTGGCCAATTCCTTTCTAAACTGCTCACAATTGTCGTCAAAGTTGAAAGATTAAACTTTTCACCTTTACAAAACCCATATTTCGAATTATTAGTTAATGCTGGCCTGAAATAAAAAGAAGAAAAAAAAAATCAAAGCTAAATTTTTGATGGTATTTTCTTTGAGAATATTTTATAGTTGATTAACAGAAGAAAAATGATTTAAGAGGTTTAAAAACTTACAGCAAAAGCAGACACGATAAACAGACGAAGAATTTTTGTTGTACATAAAAAGCCAACTATTCCAGCACCGAAAACATGGAAAAATTAAAAGATGTAAAAATTCTTTTTGGCAGTAAGTTACGTGTAGTCTATGCGTATTCTTTTCAATTACGAATGAAATGTACTTACAGAAGAACAGAAAACAGAAAAAAAAAAAAAAAAGCTGTAATACGAACCATAAGCCATGAATCGTCCAGGATGATGCTGCTTTAGGAACTTTACATTTTCCTGGTATCCTACTGTTATCCATATAGCATACAGCTGTTGGATAAATTTGCGTGAATAAAAAATAATCAAACTGATATGGAGGCGCAGCATTCATGCAATGTAATAAAAAAAGCTCAAGTATAAGCAGCAGTGATATTGTACAGTTCCTCAACATTACTAAAAGTAGCCTCAAAAAAGTAAGACTGATACAAGCGATATTTATACAACTGAAAAAAAAAAAAAGTACAAGAATTAAGAGGAAAACAGTAAACACGAAACGCCATCATAAATGAAAAAAAAAAAAAGAAAAGAACTAACTGATCAACTAACTAATTAACTAAAAGATTGGATAATACATCCATGAACTGTGTCATCATCTATAATTGTCAGATATAGATTAAAGTTCAAAAATTTAAAGAAAAAAATAATTGTCTACGTAACAAATAAAAAGTACAAAGACAAATTACTGCAACTAAATAAATAAACTATCTAAAGGAAAAAGAATACATTTGAAAGATATATTTTAACTAGAAACAAATTTTTTCTTTCTTTGTTCTTTGGATACCAAATTAATTTCTGTTATTCTAATAAACCAGAGGAAAACATAACGTTAGTTTTTTTTTTCTTGCTTTTTTTTTCTTTCTTTCTTTTTGTTACCCAAAAGAAATTGGTGTACAAAGACAATATTACACATAAGAAGAACTTTACCAGTATAGGATCGACAATCAAAAATATGACCTTAAACCAGGGAGAGGCAGGTAATTCTAACCAATCGTCACAAAACCATTGTTCATTGTCTCAACGCCTATTATCTATCTATTGATTGCCAACTGTTGCTGTAGACGCTGCTTTGCACTTCTCCACTGATGATTCCATCCATGATCTACTGACTCGTTGAACTACTAAACATTACTTCATAGTCTAAAAGCATATAGTATTGTCAGTGATGAAAAGGTCTATGTGGAAGGCTAACCAAGAATTCTGTTCACAGGTTCAATCATCGAAAATATTTTAACTGTATAGAAGACAACAGCAAACCACCATAAATCTATGATGGTTGCATAAGTTAATGTAAACTTCAAGATGTAATAATTTGCAGAAGTTATGTGTGTATCTGTTATAAGAATATGCATTTGCTTGTACTAAAAATTTTGTTCACTTTGATGTCAAAAAATATAAAAAATGTTCGCACTATTATTCGCCGGGCCATTTTTGATGCTCCAACAACTACACTTACTATTCCAAAAATATCATCAAAAAAAAAAAAAAAAAAAAAAAACATAAACAACTTTTTTCTCCTAAACCACAACAAAACTAGCAGATAATTTTAGAAATTTGTTATTCAAAACTGTTCACTTTTCTCCTCACTCCCTACCTCAAAAAATTAAAGCAACAAAAAAAAAGAAAAGAAAAACACGGGTTACTACAAATCGCAAGAACATAATGAGCTAAAATTGAATATTATCAAAAATATTTTGGTTTTATAGATAAACAGCTGGAAAATTTGGGAAAAGTCTCCTAATACAACTTCTTAGTGCTATTTTCCAACTAACTGCTGACCATTCAAATTTATAATTCTGAGCATGAGTTGCTCATTGCAGTAGTAGTGTCTTCTAAATTCTCTTTTCAAGAAACCATTCTACCACTAAAATGATTAAAAGACAGAAACAAATCAGTATTTTGATGAGACACTGTCAAGACAAATACCATTAAATTCCTTATTCAAACCCATAAATTTTTAACCTTTCTTATTTTCGACGTGTTTAGTCCAGTGTTTGCCCATCTCATTGCAATTCTCATCCTTTAAAAATGAAATCGAGTGAACAAGGATTTTTTGTTGTAGTGCTTTCAACCGCAGTACAATTCCGTAGCGATCGTTCGGTCGCAGTACAGTAGTGGATCACAATCCACTGACATCTGAACAAATGCAACGCAACCGTTCTGCCGGTAAGATTGAACACAGTGCTTCTTCTACAGATGCATCGAGCTCTTAAGGAAGAAAGATCACAGTGTATTATTAGTCTCCAGTCAAAAAGATGCCAAAAAAATTAAATTTTTCATGAAGAAAATGTAGTTCTTTTTAGTGAGCGATGTTCTCAAGTTTTCTGATCTGAATGTAGAAAAAACTCATCTCCTAGTACCTCATAAAGCTAATAACAGCAAGCAGCCACCACTGAGCGGCTGTCCAGATGCACTGATTTACACAATGATTGCTCCAGTAGCTCGTAGACTTCAAAAAATTAACTGACATAACATGTCCCGCGCTCTTTCTAAAATTTCGGAAATTTTCTCAGTAGAAAAATTTCCCATCAGTTTAAATTGTAACAGGTGAAAACCAAGCAAAACTTCAAGAACGATCTGCTGGGATGCCACGTGCAAATAACGCATCATACACCTGATTGAAACACCTTTGAAACTTGCAATGTCAACGACCATACAACTCTTATAAGTATTAAAAACTTCAACGTCGTATAGGCCGTCGTTTCCGCCTTGCTCGAAAAAACTTTGCTTAACAAGCAGTGCCATCTGAGAACCTCAAAATACTTGTTCTTCCTTCCTCGTTTATGCTTTATATATTTCCAAAAGCTCCTAAATCGACTCAAAATCTAGCCAAGTGCTTTGCCCAATAAACTTTCACTTCTTCAATATTTAAACGCTTTTTCAATGCAAAAGTTTTTTCTACAAATTATAAAAAACTGGTAGATCTTTACATTAAACTAGTCAAAAAAAGAAATTTCCGGCTTTCCGTTCCCCATTAAAAGTGCAGGAAATGAAATCATGTTGTAAGCAGTCTAAAAGCTACGTGCAATATCTGAAAAACACCGTTGGAAGGCTTTTAAAAGCAATTCTCAAATCAGGATTACCGGCCATTCTTGAATGCACGAGCAAATTAAGCTGGCTACACTGTATAAAGAAATATGAAATTTAAAACCCCGTTTGCTGCCATCTCAAGGTGTTTCAGATGACTTTGGAACCGTTAGAAGAAAGAGAAGAAAATATTGTGCTCTATTTAACAATTTGTCTGCTGTATGCACCTTTTTGAACGTCAAGTTCTCTGGTATCTCAGCAACTATTCCTACCATTTTCAAGATATAAATGATAATTCGGAAATCACAGGAGTCTTCAATAAATGCAATAGGAAAGACCGTGAAATGCACGTTTCACGAATGTGAAAACTACTGGTTCTCTATAGATAATTAGACTAGTAGACTACTCTAAACTAAATTTTAGACGGGAAGGTTGTTTTCAAATTCATTCTTTAACCGGAGAGGCAAAAGAGAAAAAAGAAATTAAGAATTTGAAGACGGATCGGGGAAAAATGGAATTTATTTGAATTCGTTAATGCAGAGCTGATGGAAATAGGTACACATACATACAGTTCGGATAGGTGTGAGAAGAAATTGCTATGCAAACCCTGGTCTCCTAGAAAAGGATTTTCTAAGGTCAACAAAATACACTCCGTCGGTTTTAGCACAAAATAATGTGGATGAAACTTGACAGTACATTTTTCCTAGAAAAATTTTCACAGTAAGAAACCGAATAATTCCACGATAAATGTGAAGAGACATCTTTTTTCCCATAAGAATGATTTTCAAACAAGAAAATAAATAAAGAAATAAGACAGAATACAATAAAACAAAGAAATAATTCTACATTATAAGCTACAATTTCAAAACCACATCTAGTCAAGTCCCCAATTTTACAATGCAAAATTAATTTTTTAATTAACCTTCAAAACTGACATCAATGCATGTCTCACCCTTAGGTAGAAAGAATCGACCGCCAGATTATAAATTCGTGTTCTTTGGGTGAGGCAAATACTTCGAGAAACGCGTTCTAAACATATATAATTTTTTGAAGAGCTTTTTGAACTGAAAATGAAAGCGACAAAATCCCACTAAGCAACACTTTTAGGTAATCACTTCTATGGGTCTTTCTTAAAGAACTCACATTACCTGCACTAGCACACAGGTGTAACCACCAATAAATAAGTAGACGTCAAAGGCGGTAAGAAGGACGGCCGTAACACAACAGCAAATTTACTCTTCGTTATTGGATATGAGCGAATCCACTGATGCGTGCCAGTACTTAGTATTATAATGAAATCCGCAAGACAATATCGGGTATTAAAGAGAGAGCGAAATTACATCGCAAGAACCAAACCAAAAGCTGTCGAAAGCATCACAGCACCCATAAGCTTACAAATGTCAATTATAATCGAGTGATGAACAAATTTTTTCATTTGCATTAACTGCCTTCCAAAGTACGATAACTTCAACAACCAAATTTTCCTTCAAATCGATAACATCTCAAAACTACATCGACATTTTGTGAAACGACTTCCACACACCAAACTGCATACCTTCTCCCCACAACACAAGTGTCATATAAATGACATCACTAGCTCAAAAAACAAAAATACAAATCCCTTCCCAAATACTCACGATAGTAATTGCAGAGAACCTTTGAACTGCAAAGTTCTTCCTCGCAACGTTACAAAATTCTTCCAAACACAAACTGAACTTTGAAAACATGCCATAGCAATTGAATGCAACAGTCAGCACCAACCTTTCCAAGCTTTCTAAGTCGTGGATACACGAATAAACTCACTTGCTGTTCACGAGACTGCACCACTTGCATTATAAACATCTATCATATTCTACAATCTCTTTCCTAATCGAGAAATGCAACCTTCAACCAAACTATCACTATTTTAACCATACTATCACTTCACTAACGGTAGAAAACTAGAAAAGTTTGCTTTCGCAGCTCAGTGGGGAAAAGATGCTGCAATTGACCAAAATCAGAAAAGCACATCAATAACTTTTAATATTTGTCGTTTAGAAAAGCCATTCGAATTCAGTTACACCGAAAGCCAAGCAAACTTTAGCAGAAAAGTGGTAAATAACAATACATTACAGTAATAACAATAACCAATAATGACCAATTTTTATTAGTGAAGGACCCCAGCTGTAACAGAGGCAAAGATAAGATCGTAAAGGAAAAAATAAATAGAATTTTTATATTGAAAACAAAACCAGAAAATTATAAGTCATTGCAAAAAACTATTTTACAAAGAATTAATAAAAATAAATGCTGAAAAAGGGCGAATTTACTAAAAAAAAGGAATTTTCAGGAGCGTTTCAGATGAAACAAATAACTGACAAATGAACAGAAGTAAAAAAGATTGACAGAAATGCTATAAAAACAAGACTGGAACTGTCTTTCCACCATTTTCTCGGCTTTATAAAAGAGAAGAAATAACACTCATTTCATTTTCCAAAAAAATGTCTCCATACTTCTCAAAAGTTGCTACTCCAGACTGAATTCATCCGCCTTCAACCATGTCCGTTCCCCTCCATCCCCTCCTTCATTTCGCCTACCAGTCTCTTTTACCTGGTTCACAATACATTTGCATTGAATCAACAAATGCATAATAATAAGATTAATTGATAGTAACAAAGCAAAAGATAAAATAAGACAAAAATGCTTAAACTGAAAATGTCTTTTCTCATAAAGCTTGGGTTACCAATAAGACAAAGAGAAATGACCACTGACCGGTCAAAATCCTATAACTGATGTAGATCATTTGCGAAAAAAAAACCAAAATATTCGCCGTTAAAATTAATTACATTTATGACTGTAAAAAAACAGATTTTTAGCGTTTTTAAATAACTTCTTCCAACAAAAACCAGAACGCTTTACAGCAGATCAACGCCTATCAGCACATATAATGAAAAAGAAGACAAGAGAAAAAAATGCTATTAATTTCATTTTTATTAATATCAATGCACAGAAAGTTAACCTAAAAAGAGTAAACTATAGTAACAAATGAAAATGTGCCGTCGAAAACCATGATCGCTTTTATTTCATCAAAAACTTATGTTTATGAGACTGCTGCCTAATTTTTCTAGTCTTTTTTCACAGAAAAATGTAGAAGAAAGCAGGAAACGGTCAACAAATAATGCTATAAAAATTAGACTACTAGCATACTCAACATTCGAAAAACTCAACAATTTGACGGCATCATAACAAGTTAACAGGACCAGGCAGTAAAAATCGGAGAAATATGAAAACTGAATATTGCTGCATATTTCGAATAAAGATAAATGCAAAGCCTCGAGAAAGACAATGAAAAAAGAAGAAAAAAAATGCAACATGTTATTACAGAAAACATCAGCAAACTGCAATTTTCCATATTTACTTTTATCACTTACCAAAAAAGTTAAAAACAATTTTCTTCACAAACGTAGTTTTGTAGCGCATAACTAGAGCCGTTGATAAGCCACACAACGTTAAACCAGAAGCCAAATTTTTTAGAGGAATTAATACAGTGACTAGTTGCAACATTTCCAAAATAGGAGCTGCTCGAAGTAATTACCCGATTAAAACAATGCGAAAACAACGGGTTGAAAACCTTCAAGTGGTCCTATCTTTTTTCCTGCCTTATAGCTCCCAATATTTCTTCCTTGGCTCTGTTGATCAGTTCTCCCACCTCATTCAACAAGTCTACCTTCCATTTTTCAAGCATTTCCGGAGTTATCTGAGCTGCAATAACTCCTGCGTCACCATTTTTATTCGCCAGGCTGTTAGCGTTCTGTCGTGGCTCTTCCTGACTTGACAAAGAAGAACCACTATGGGCTCTATTTACGCTGCAAAAACAATTACTGTAAATCGTAAAAACACCACTAAAGCGCAAAAGGCAAACGAATCATTTTCAGTGTTAGTGTCAATATTACTTTCTATGCATCCTTGGCGAATCGGTGCTACCATTGTTCGGACCAGTAAAAGCACCAGTTCCAGCGGGTCTCTCCCAAGCACGTTTTGTAATACTGCCTGCACCTGGTTCTACTATAAAAATACAATAAAGACCAGTTAAATACTAGGTCTGTGAAAAAAAAAAAAAATAATAAAATTCAATTCTATGTCTTACAAGAAAAACAGCGAAAAAACGAATTTGCACAAGTACAATTAAAATAATACACAAATAAGTGGCAAAGACCTGAGGATCGAGACTCATTCTCAACATAATTTTTACGCTTGTTTAGTGTTGCCTCGAGCTCAGAAAACAAAGCTCCATGCCCACGAGCGGCTAGAACAAGAATGTTAAACACCGTGTTTGGTGCAAGGTCAACAAATAAGTGCAGAAAATATTCCTAACCAGACTATTCAAACTCCTAGAGCATAGCAAAAATTTAAAGACAAAAATGTTGCGTAAAATAGACATAAAACTGTTCAATTTTGTCTCAGAACAATGCTAAAACGAATTTAAAAAAAATCAAACAAACTCTTTCCTTCTGTCACGAAAAATCAAAAAAAAGAAGAAAATAAACAGTGATATAAATAAAAAACAGAAACAGAAACAAGTAAAGGTCAACAATAAAACTCAAACTATGCACCAGCACTTTTAAAAGAAAAACTTGAGCTTTTACCTGCAGAATTCTCGTTTTTAGTAGGAGCTGTGGAATTAGAATTGGTATTAGTTTTTCGCAACTGGACATTCTTAATTTGATCTGCAATTGACATAGTGCTGGACTTGTTCGTTCCTAAACCTCCCAGTGGTGGTGGTGGAGGAGGCGCTGGAGGAGCGTTGGTACTTAGAGGGGCTAAAATAGTTTCAGCTAATAACTGGCATTAAACATGGACAACAATATAAATTTTCTTGTAAAAGAAAAATTTATTTGGCTAAATTAATGCAACACGGCACCAATCAGACAAATATCACGTTAAGGTAACAAAATAACGAACCTAAACCTCCAGCGGGCAAAGGAGGGGCAGGAGGTGGATTTGCAGAAGCAAGGGCTGGTGCTTCCGATCCTGGTGGAACCCGCATAGAACTAGACGCTGCAGCTACAGATGACGCATAAACAGCACCTGGGCCAGACGATCCGTTAGAAGAAGAGCTCGATGAACCTTGAGATGCTCTGCGCTGCGCACTCGATAAAGTCAATCCAGCGCTAGCCGAACTGTGCATTGAGTGTGAAGACTTCCTACAAGTTCAGATCTTTGAAAAAACACGAGTGCTAAGAGCGTTAAAAAGGCATTATATAACAATGACAGAACTCTATCTCACACTAGAAATATAAGCAACCAAGTCTCACATTACTCACCTATAATTATTTGTCAGCGCAGCGGGTATACTGCCAGAGCATATGCTCTCTTGATCAGCGTCTCTAAAGGAAGGTTCACTATGCGGTACATGATGAAGTTGCTGAGGCTCATGATAAACGCCATTGGAATTTCCAAATGCAGTACCTTAAAAATCTGCTTCGGTGAGTCACTTCTTTACTAAGCATCAACAGTTCCTATTCTTTAAGTTTTTTCAAAAACAAAGCAAGGCGAGGCACAACACTACACTTGAATACCATTGGTAACTGTCAATCAGTCCTTTTAACCGAGCGTGAAAAAACTGTATGACACATCAGCAGAAAAGTAGAAGCTGTTACCGTTTTGATAATCACTGCTTGACGCTAGCAGTGCAAGTACATCGGTCATTACAGAGATAAATGAGCGTGCGTCATCCTCAGACATAAAGTTCAAACCATAAACCTAAAAAACGATCAACATCCATTAATAAACACACAGAATCAAACATGTCAATCTGACAAGGATGTTGCGACAATAAAAGTGGGTAAATTTTGAAAAAAAATTTCAAGAGAACTAATCTGTGAAACTGAGCAAAACCTTCGTGAATTATACTTACTTTCCTTTTTTCATCTCTCCATTGATGAAAAAGAGGAGTGGCGGGATTATACTTCAACCGGTCATAAACATTGCAATTCAAAATCCATTGCCGATTCTGAAAAAAATGCTATAACAACCGAGTATCCAAACCCCTTGATATCATTACTTCCTTAAGACTTAAAGTACAGATATAAATAGCCTGAGTAAAGTTTCATTCAGCAGCTCATATTCTGACCATGTTACTGCAATCTACAAAATCTCAACTGAAGAAAAACAACCACGTGAGAAGAAACTGGTAAAAAAGAATAAACAAATACAATCTTGGAAAAAGTAAGTGCTTTTTTATAACCTGCCTTGCAGTTTATCACACAGAGTAATCAAAAACTTCTAAAAAAATGTAAAAGAGTAAATTCCAAAATCAAAAATAAGCACTCTTTATTAGCTTGAAGAAGATGAATCCTGAAAATCTAAATATGTACGCTAAGTGGTATAGCAATATAGATAATAAAGTCAAATTTCAGAAAAACAAAAAGTACTACGACGCATGGCAGTACCAGCAGTAAAAGAAGACAATTTTACAACTTCAAACACTAAAATAGAATAATATAAAAATTTTTAAAACTACTGCTGAAAGTGTATATCCTCGAATGTTACCTAAATTGATGAATGGAAGGGAAAACAGGCAGAGAAAACCTAGAAACGAAAAGGCAAATTTAAAATTACCAATAATCAGCTAAAAACGCGAACGTCCCAAAAGAAAATAACAACAAATCGTGTTTTCCCTCGTTTGAGAAAAAAAAA